TCGGAGTCGCGAACTCGCTAGGTATTATTCTAGACAACACCACCGAGAGCACCGCGGCGACCAGCACGCGCCACGAGGAAAAGGGCGAGTGAGAAAGTAGGTCAAGGTATTTATTTAGTGCGGTCATCATGTCGTCTCGCTGTGGTCTTGCCGCTTGTGCGATGCCCCAGTAAGGCCCCCCGTGTGCTCGCGGCACACAATAGTGGGACTCAGAATTTCGTGCACCAAGTGAAAAACAACCGTACCCAGCCAGCCGCAACACCGCACACTCATGACTTCGCGCTTTCGAACCAAGCGTCAACCTCGGTGGCGCTTAACGTGGTCGTGTTACAGAAGGAAAATACGCGCAAGGCACAGGAGGCCACCCAGCGTCACCTCCGGCAGAGGAAGCAGGTCCGACACCTCGTGAAGGAGGTGGAGGGCAAGCAGAAGGAGGTGGGTCACGAACGCGGGACAACATGATCTGCACAAGTTCGGTTGTTGTCGCTGGTGTGTCTGGTCACGTTGCCAGTGACTTCATTTCATGTCTCCTGCCGTCACGTGTTTCGATCATGCTGGACCGAGCTTGTCTCTGATATCTGCCTGTCTCGTTCACAGGTAGCGGCGACGATGCGGGTGCTAACGGAGGCAAGACGTGACGGGGGGTCTCTCCGAACGGAGAGGGATGGCCTGAGGTGAGCAAAGCATGTGACGGAGAGGGAGGTATCCAGAAACACTGTTGTTGTTTTTGTTGTTGTTGCTGCTGTTGTTGCTGCTGCTGCTGTTGTTGCTGGTGCTGCTGGTGCTGCTGGTGCTGCTGGTGCTATTGCTGTTGTTGCTAGTGCTGCTGGTGCTGCTGGTGCTGCTGATACTCTTGCTGTTGTTGCTGCTGTTGTTGCTGGTGCTGGTGCTGGTGCTGCTGGTGCTGGTGCTGGTGCTATTGCTATTGCTGGTGCTGCTGCTGCTGCTATTGCTATTGCTATTGCTGTTGTTGATGCTGATGCTGGTGCTGCTGCTGTTCCTGTTGACGCGTTCACGATGCTGATATTGCTCTTTCTCGTTGTTGCTGTCGTTGTCGTTGTCATGGCCTCTGTTGCCCCTGGCGCTGATGTGATTGCACCCTTCCATCGTTTGTCTGCCGGTGTCTCGTTCACTAGCGCTTCCCTCGCCGCGAAAGAGGACGCCCTCTCCGCGACACAGGACCGCGCCCGGGTCCAGCGGGAGCAGGCGGTGGCCAATGCCCGGCAGCTCGAGGGCCAGGTGGAGGAGTTGCATGAGGTGAATTTCAATACAGCGCCTTGGGCAGACGAAGTTGCAACGAGCGGGGGCATCATTTGGTCCTGCCGCAGCTGACGTGTTGTTTTGTGACTAGGATGAAGAATGATCTTTGTGCTTTGTCAAGGCGAAACAGTAAAATGACGTTTGGACGGCGAAGTGTGTCAGTTTGAGGCCATATTTCGTGTTTTTTTTGGTATTTCTGTCGATTTGGATTCGGTCCCTTGCTTGTCGACTTGCTTCATCCAATGTTTGCTTCGGCTGTACCCGTTGGCTTCACAGGCACTAACGCAGGCGCAGCGCCAGGGGGGATCTCTCCAAAGGCAGCGGAATGGCCTGAGGTGAGCAAATCATGTGGGCATAGGAGTTATCCAGGAACGCCGTTGGGATTGTTGTTGTCGTTGCTGCTGCTATCACGTTTACGATGGTGATACGATATATCTCGTTCCCGTTGTTACCATCGTTGTTGTTGTCACCACTTTTGTTATTTGTTGCCTCTGGTGCTGATACAATTGCACTCTCTTCTGTCGTTCGTCTTTCTGCTTGTTCTCTAGGGCTGCCGTCTCTGCGATGGAGGACGTCGCCTGGGAGGACAGGAATCTGGCGGCAGACACCATCCAGCGGCTGTCGACGGCGCTGGAGGCCTCGCGCCTGGAAGTCACGGCGGAAGTAAAGGCCACTGCCGGGGCGAGGGCGGAGGCGGAGGAGCTGCGACTGCAGCTGGAAGGGGCGTTGCAGGTGTGTGTTTGTGTTTGCGTTTGTATTGTTTGGCAGGCAGCTTACTGTTGTAGTTGTGGTGTATGAGGTGGATTCTAATACAGCGCCTTGGGTAGACTGAGGTGCAACGAGCGGGGGCATCATTTGGTCTTGCCGCAGCTGACGTGTTGTTTTGTGACTAGGATGAAGAATTAACTTTTCTGTGTGCTTGGTCTAGACTAAGCGAAACAGAAAGCGGAAGTTCTGACGGCGAGGTGTGACAGTTTTGAGGCCATTTTTCATGTTATTGATTTTCCCCGTTGATTATGATTCTGTCTTTTGCTTGTTGACTTGCTTTGTCCCCATGTTTGATTCGGTTGCACCGTTTCCTGTACAGGCGTTGACGGAGAGGCAGCGTGAGGCCGATTCGTCGTCGGCGGAAATGGCGTCTGTTCGAACAGAGAGGGATGGCCTGAGGTGAACAACGCATGTGGGCGGAGAGGGAGGTACCCAGGAGGGGTGCTGCTGTTGTTGTTGCTGTTTTGTTGCTGCTGATGCTGCTGTTGTTCCTGTTGACGCGTTCACGATATGATATTGCTCCTCCTTGTTGTTGCTATCGTTGTCGTTGTCATGGCCTCTGTTGCCCCTGGCGCTGATGTGATTGCACCCTTCTATCGTTCGCCTTTCGGCTTCTTGTTCTATAGGGTCACCCTCTCCGCAGCAGAGGGCCGAGCGGGGCAGTCGGTGGCCAAGGTCGGGCAGCTCGAGGGCCAGGTGGAAGAGCTGCGGGCAGCGCTGGAGGCCGCGCACCTGGAAGGCACGACGGGAAAGGCCGCCATTGCCAGGGCGAGGGCAGAGGCGGAGAATCTTCGGGAGGAGCTGGCCTCACAGAAGGTTCGTGTTTCTTTTGCATCGACCGCACTAACAGGCTGACCAATGAAATATTGCAAAAGACGAACACTTTCCAACCAAAGGGTAAGGACTCTATCGACAGGGGGGATGCAGGAGTTGGACCTCACTGTCCTGCTTCTCGTTCTCCCATGCTAACGTCGTCCCCCTGTACTGGGTTGCCTTCTAATCGAACGCGCTTTACGCTAGTGCGTGTGGGCGTTCAGTGTGTGAATTGGTTGGCAGGGAGCGTGTAGTAGTGGTGGTGCAAAGGGTGAACTGCTGAACAGTACCTTGGGTAGACCGAGGTAACCAGCGGCAGCAGAACCTTTCTCTCCTGCTGCAGGTGACGTGTTGTTTGTGCTTTTCGGCCAGAAGGAAGAATGGGTCTACCATTTTCTTTGATCTCTCAGGAGGCGAAATATTGATGGACGTGTTGGCAGCGAGGTTTGTGACTGTTTTCGTTGGCTTTCGCCGTTGATTCTGTTTCTGTCCCTTGCTTGTTCACTTAGTTCAAGCCTATCCCGTGTGTGCTTTCCCTGCATCGGGTGTCTCGACAGCCCCTTGCGCGGCAGGTCGCGCTTCGTCCGGTGACCCGCCGAGGCGTCCAACGCTCTCGCCAGCTGCAAGTCTCGGCCTTCCCGCTCTGGCGGCTGGCGAGAGCGTTGGGCGCCTCGGCGGGTCACCCGACGAAGCGCGACCTGCCGCAAAAGGTGCTGTCGAGACCAGCGGTGCTGGTGACGCGTTGTTTTCATTGCGGTTAGGGTTCACAGTCACTTTTCTTTTGTCTTTCAAGCGACGAAATGTTTATTTAGTGTTTGTAACCGCAAGTGCGTGACTATTTGAGGCCTTGTTTCAGGCCTTCACTCGTTTTTGCCTTTGCTTATGTTTCTATCCCTTTCTTGTCCACTGATCTTATCCCGCTCGTGCTTTCTCTGGACCGGTTGTCTCGACAGGGCCTTGGCCGACATTTTGCGCTTGGCTGGGTGATCCAGCGGGCCGCCTGCCCTCACCAGCTGCAGATCTCGGCCTTCTGGCGCTGGCGACTGGCGGCGACGACGGCTACGTCAGTGCTGAGGAAGCGGGAACAGGAGGTGACCTTAGGTCGCGGGGTTGTAGTTGTGGTTGCAGGGACCGGCCTCAGGAGGCATGAGGCCAGCTGTGAGCCGGCGACCGCCCAGGACAAGAAGTATGCAAGGAACTGCCGGACACTGCAACAGATTCCGAGGTGGACACCAGTGCCACCGCCACCGCCACCGCTGCCAAAGCCGCGGCGGCCACACTTGCCGCCGACCTCCCAACCCAACCCGAGTAAGCTTGCGGGGGTAAGCTTGCTCGGGTTGGGTTCGGAGGTCGGCGGCAAGTGTGGCCGCTGCGGCTTTGGCAGCGGTGGCGGTGGCGGTGGCACTGGTGTCCACCTCGGAATCTGTTGCAGTGTCCGGCAGTTCCTTGCATACTTCTTGTCCTGGGCGGTCGCCGGCTCAGCGCTGGCGTCATGCACACTATTTGACCAATGGAATAAGCTTCCATGGAAGTCGAAATTGACTTCATGGAAGTGGTTTACTGCTTCCGTGGAAGTGGTTACCCCTTCCATGGAAGTCACTGTTACTTCCATGGAAGCCAATATCGACTTCCACGGAATCTGTTCGTCTGTTTGGGGTTCCTGCTTCCATGATGCTTTCATGGAAGCACCCGATATCAACCGCTCGTTGCTTCCATGGAAGTTGCATTTGGACTTCCAAGGAAGCGCGACGAGCTTCCATGGAAGTACTAGGTTCATGGAAGCTCGTCGCTTGACACTCTGCTACATCCATGGCAGCACGAAAACTCCCATAAAAGAAACTTCCATGGAAGTTGGTGACAGAGGTCGAAACCGACTTCCGTGGAAGCACAGATAATTCCATGAAAGCAACTTCCACCGAAGCGTCTGGACATGTGGTCATTCCATCTTCCCTACCCTAACCCTAACCCTAACCCTAACCCTAACCCCGATAAGACCGTGCAAGCTAACCCGAGGTTGAATACTTCCATGGAAGCTGCGATGAACCTGTTTTGAATAGCTTCCAAAGAAGGCTAAGGTTCGAGTTCCATGGAGGCTTTTCCACTTCCATGGGGTTTCCATGGGAGTTCCGTGGAAGCTAACTCCCATGGAAGCGGCTCATCCATGTTTCATATCTTTACTTCCATGGAAGTGAATATCGCCTCCATGGAAGTGTCGTTTCTCGCTTCCACGTAAATGCGAAACGTGTAGCTTCCATGGATTTGGTATCAGCTTCCATGGAAGCTGATTCATACTTCCATTGAAGCGGTACACATTCGTCAAAGAGTGTGGGAGATCGGTAAGCGGCGTTGGACGAGACCTGGCAGGAGAAAATCCAGCTTCCATGGAAGCTGAGTTATACTTCCATGGAAGCGGTGCACATTTGTCAAATAGTGTGGGAGATCGGCAGGCGGCGTTGGACGAGGCCAGGCAGGAGAAAAGGGAGGCCCCGCCCTCCCCGTAGATGATTGATTATGCTCTTGGTTCACAGGAGACGCACGCGTTTGCACCATCCTCATTGGATGTCAACCTGCTTAGGTTGTGCCTCTGGTACGCACCCAGCCCTGTGGCTGACACGGATGACCACCAATGTTGCCCTGCTCATGTCTGCCCAAGGTGGTCTTTTTACCACACACCGCCCTCACACTTGTTTCGCGTCCTCCTGCGCTGTCCTCGAGGCAAGCAGATACAGTGCTGGGGCAGACCAGTTGCACCGAGTGGCAGCATGTTTTGCTTCTGCTGCACCTGAGGTGCTGTTTTATGTCTAGCAAGAAGCAGATATATTGTTTGTCCTTCGTCAAGGCGAAACACAAAGCAACTGGCGTTTAAACCTCGAGGTGTGACTATCAATTTTGGGGCCGCGTTCATGGTTTCCAACGCTATGCCTATTGACTCTGCTTCTCGTCCCTTGTGTGTTCACTTACTCTATCCAATTTGTTTTGCCTGTACCCTTTGTCTTCACAGGGCCTTGCTCGGCAGGACGCGCTTCGACGGGTGATCCTCGGGGACGCAGACCGGCACCAGCGGGAGGTCTCCGCTTTCGGGCGTTGGCGGCTGGTGACGGCGACAGGGGTGATGGCCGACCTCCGCGCCCAAGGCAATCGAGCGGCGAAGGTGCACGAGGAGGCCCAGGTGAGATTGCAGCAGTTGGAGGGCCCCCTGCAGGCGTGTGTTGGGGTGTGGTATTCGGAGTGCATGTGTGGGTTTTGTTTGGCGGGGAGATTGTAGATGTTGTGGTGGGGGGGGGCGGTACTGGTGAGCTGGTATAATTGAACGGGATGACAACGGCGGTTCCAGGCCTGACTCTATCAGCCGGGTGCTCAGCCTCCAGAGAGAAGCAAGCACTGCTCGTCCCGCGATTTAGTAAGAAGCACCAACCACGCCGCAGTTGGCTATTGAGCTTAAAGTACCGCACGCCATGTGTGCGCGCTCGACGGTACCACGGACTTGATCCATTTTGATGCATCGGCGAGCTCCAGACTATTGCTAGCCTCCTCAAGCTAGGGTTCTGTCGCCAAAACTACTCTTTTTTTGTTGCGTCTCTCACGCCTCGAAGTCATTCCAGTCTCGGTCGCGAGCGGCCTGGAGAAAAATAATATAGGCGTGCCAGCGCACTGAACGGCCTGAACACGACGCCGGGAGGGCGAGTAATCGGGTCTATGCTCCCCTTCTTTCAGGCTGCACGGTTTGACAGTGCAAGACGAAGCGTCAGTCAATTGAGCTCGAGTTCTTGCGCTCATCATCGAATCTGTATATCGCGGTACAGTGAAAAGCCAACCGCCTCTCAAACTAACACGGCCTTTGGTTGTCTATTACCGATACGGCTAGAGCTTCATGCATGATGCTACCTTGCAGGCACGTTTTTGTTTTATTTCCAGAAAGCGGCGGAGGTCAAGGTAAAGGGGGCGGAGGACAAGGTCAAGACAGTCCTCGACAGGATTAACTCGAAGGGTGCCGACAAAACGGACTACTGGTTGTCGGCGCTCTTCGAGTCGACCTTGTCGAGGACTACCTTTCAATCGTGCTCCGCTGCCTTTAGCATGACCTCAGCCGCCTTCTGCAAATGTATTAAAAACGTGCCAGCGAAAGACGGTTTTGCATGAAGCTCCAACCGTACTGGTAGGCTTTGGGTTTCAAACCACCCTTGCAAGGATTTCAGGATGATGCAGAAACCACTCTATCCTGCCTCTCTAGCTTTTCTGAAGCGGACACACATGCTTGGTTGACCAAACGGGTAAAAAAACGCTCTGCTTGTGGACACATCACAAACTCGACGCACTGATTTGCAATCCTCGTATCCCGTCGTGACGGTTACGTCGTGTCTCTTGTAACCTTACTGTGTCATCCGCCTTGACCGCCTGTATGTTTCGGAAACTCGACGTATCCTTCACGTCGGGAATAGGGGACTGGCAGATCAGTGCGTCGAGTATATGATGTGTTCCCAAGCTGAGCATTTTTTGCCCGTGTGGTCGAGCAAGCATACGTCAGCTTCAGAAAAGCTAGAGAGTCTTAACCGGTCCAACCCCACGGTCAGACGAGTGTTGGCATCAAAAAATGTTCTTATGGTGGCCTTCCAAACTCCCTTCCACACCTCACTCTCCGCCCCTTTCCCCTCCTCTTATCTTTGCGCTTGACGCTACGCCTTTTTTTTCAATGTTGATCCAGCACTGCCCAGGGCCACAAACGGACCAACGGCAGCCGCACGAGGGATCTTCGTCCCTGACAACAGCTGCAGCTGCCCTGCCAGCGGCGTCGGAAAACCGGGAACCAGTTTTCCAATTTGGCAAGTGCTCGCCCCCCGATAGCTGGGGTGTCCGTGTCTCATCAAGGCGGAAAAAGAAGTACAAGTATAATTTTTGTTCATGTCCAAGATGAGTTGACCGATCGTTCTGGAGAGGAACAGCCGAGATCTCGGACCGGCTCTTCCCGGCACCAGCACCTGCGTCGAAGCCCGTACGCAGCGGACACTCCGAGATCTCGGCTGCACCTCTCATTAAGGCTGAAAAATAGTACAAGCACAATTTTTGGTTCATGTCTACAAGATGAATTGACAGATCGTTCTGGAGATGTTCCCCGTGTCTCACGAGACGCGTTCTCCCGTCGAAGGGGCACCAGGAATTGCAGCTCAAGTCGCTTCTGCAAACTGGGTGATTTGAAACCATCGAGTGGCGTGCTCAATTTGTTGTACCGTCTAGGAAGCCTTATGTCTGGCGGCGGCGGCGGCGGCGGTGGCGACGGTATGTAGCTGCAAAACGAGCGCCCGTCGCAAACTCCGGGTCCCGGTGTCCCGCCAAACATTCTGATCTGTTTTTCGGCGTTAATAGGCTCTATGTTGTTGATCCCTCCTCTTTTGCAGGACTGAGGCCATCCGCCCGGACAGGTGCAGCCGAGGGCTCGGACCGGCTCTTCCCGTCACGGACACTCGCGTCGTCGCCCGCACGCAGCGGACACTCGTCCCCCCAAACAGGGGAGACTGGGTTCGCCGCTGCTAGGGGCGGAGGCGGTGTCGGCTCTGTGCCTAACGGTCAGATGTCGGACCGGCTCTTCCCGGCACCGACACTGGCGTCGTCGCCCGCACGCAGCAGACACTCGTCCCCCCAAACAGGGGGGACTGGGTTCGCCGCTGCTAGGGGCGGAGGCGGGGCCGGCTCTGTGCCGGGTGCCACCAGGCAAACGGAGGGGCGAGAGGCGGTGAGTGTAGAAAGCGTTTCCTCACCAGTTGTCACCCTGCCTGTTCTCGTGGTGGATCAGCCGCCAAACAGGTCACCCTTCGGCAGAGGGAGCATGGGGGGGCTACCCCGAATCGTCAAAGGTCCGGGCGGCGCCTTGCGAACTCAAGGCACTCCTAGCGAACTGCATTGCCCCCCCCGCTCACCTGCTGGCCTGTCAGTGGTAGTTCATTCCCCGCTGATGGCATCAACCTCGATACAACACGCCTCTTTGTAGAACAGGGGTTTCGTCGCACAGCTTCCGAAGGACGTAAGAGTCGACATGCACCTGGACCGGAATGCGGCCAGTGTTTTCCGTAGGGGCAACTTCGTTTTGACACAGGAAGGAGTATATGCGCCTCACACACCGTTCCTTCCCCTCCCCCCTTTGTTGCCATGATCTCGGGACACGCTTGCATACTTGACGGACGGCGCGAAATGTAATTGATTTCCTCGGGTTTCCTTGGAACGCTGGGGTGTTGCTCCAGGTTCCACGCGGGAGGACACCGGGGGATGGAGGCGTTCGTGTTAGTGGTGCTAGTGCTGGTGCTGGTGCTCGTCCTGACGGTGCTAGCCTCAAGACCTGCTGGCAGATGGGAGTGGTCACGAGTCATATTGGACGTGGTGGGCGGAAAGGAGAGCGGAAGCAGCAGGGGACGTTGGCGCCAAGGATGGCGGGCGGTGGCACCAGGCGCTCCGATGGCGGCGGCAGTGGTTATGGCGGTGGTGATCGAGGTGGTGGTCGAGGTGGTGGCGGCGGCGGCGGCGGAGGCCGTGGTGGCGGAGGCCGTGGTGGCGCGGGCGGCGGCGGGGGCCACCCTGTCAGGACGTGCGTACACCCTTTTCACGCGATGTCTCATTTCGTGACCAACGACATCACACATGATCAGAGTTACAAAGGTCAAGCAGTGTTCTAGACTTGCGTGCCCCCCCACGCCATTTGTGCTTTGAGTATCAACGCGGTAGTCATTCTCAAGCTTGTCGTCTCCTCGTGATGTCCCTTGTTACGTATTTCTCGTCCGCGTGGATGCGGCTTGAATTTCTGCATGGTTATCCAGAACGTGCCGGAACAGGGACGTTCTGTTGGCGGTGCTGTCGATGCTCCACGCCATCCCGGCTTTCAGCGGGGCACTTCGCAAGCTGCTGGGCGGAAACGCTAACGCTACCCCTGCACAGGACGTCGCGTCTCTCGGGGCATTGCTCGAGGTGAGTGCCCGGCAGTTCGTGGATTTCTGAAAGTAGAAGCAAAAAGGTTGAATCAGTACGGTTGGCGCCCGCCCTCGACTTGGAAGCATGCCTGTCTTCGGGGGGTGGGGTTGGCTCGCGGAAAATGAGAGCTGGACCACACTTCAATGAAAGAAGCAAAGACGTTCGAGCGCCGGCCGATGCCCTTAGCTTGGTCACATGACCAGAGGAATGTCGTTTGGGAGGGAGGACCACACAGGCGGGGAAGGTTGAGTTGTTGGCCTCAACGGAGGAAGGTGTGCTGCTGCTGGTGTTGTATTCGGCCTCCCGTTGACCACTTCGCACTGCTGTAGCTTGTGATCATCCCAACAACAGCAGGTTGTGCATGATCGAGAGCGGTTCCTCGCTACTTGGTGGAAATTCAAGTGATTCTCCGCTGTCCCCTTCCACCGATGACTGCTGCGTGTATTGTC